ATTTGGTTTAGAGAAGAAAATACAAGAATGGGCATCATCGTCACATGCTTGTTTCTTTTTAATTTGCAGCAGAGCATTTAAAACTTCAGCATTAGCACTTTATCATAGAGTAGATATGAGCAAAGAAATTTGTGTAGGCTTGAGACATGCTTTTCTGAAAATAACCATTTGCTTTGCTGTCCTGCCTCAGGTTGTAAATATAGACAGTATTAGATTTGTCCAGATGCTGTCAGATAGATGCCCTGTGGCTTTCTGTACTCCAGTGACTCTGTTTACTGCATAAACTTTGCTAAGGTGGGCAATAGTTCTTAGCTTCATTCTCATACTTTCTGTAGAATACAGTTCTGGTCTTTAAGATATCCCTGGCAGTAGTCTCAAATGTCTTACAGACTTCGACGTGCTACGCAGTGTTATTGTCAGCAGCCTCTGCCAGAAGAGTGGTGTTCACCTTGGGTATCGCTAGTCTAATGTTGTATTGTCTTTGCTATGTCCTCCTGCTGATTTTTTTCCAAGCAGAAGGAAACACTGAGAGTAGTTTAAGTAGAAAAAAGTGGATCGTGCTGAAGAATGGAACAAGGAGAAGAGAGAGGTGGAGTGAATGGTCTTGCAGTCTGCTTTTTAACCTGATCCTGTGACCTCTTAGTCACATGAATAGATGCTTGTTGACTTGTTCCCTAGACAGACATTTGAGGTTTGAGTCTTTTGTTTCATATCCAACTGAAAACTGTTATTAAAGAACATTCCTATCTGTTTTTGATGCTCTGGCTGGCCGTTTTCTCCTAATTCATTTTAAGGGGTGTTTGATAGAAGAGAGCTGCTTGGCAGCTCTCCGATCTTAATAGCTTCTGAGAAAATGCATTGATTGACTCTTTTGTTTTCAAAAGATTGCTGTAATTTTCAGCCATTATCTATAAGGAAATCAGTGTAATTTATTAAACTAGCATTGTGGATTAAGAATTAAAGACTTGATCCTTTCATCATTTAAACCAGCGTTATATTGATGTTACCCATGAGGAATTTCAGCAAGACAGAGCAAGTGTGAAAAGTTCCTATGAATTCTTAGAAAGCAGGCTTCTAGACCTCTTTCATGAGATCAGAACTGCTTCTTGAAAATTAAATTTCTGCTTTGTAGCCTTTACCGAGAATAAACTACTTTTCTTGGAGTTTGGGTAATGGAAATAGTCCTATCAGTGTCATATTCAAAAAAATCTTTGAAAGAATAAGCTTATGTCTAAGAAACAAAACACTTAGCTGGCATTATGGGTATAATGGGTAGCAAAAGTTGTAGAGAAAATAACTTGAATTTAATCAAAGAGAAAATGAATCTCTAGTCTCCCTACATTATGGAAAAGAAAAAATATGAGCAGTGGTTCCAATTCCTTGTTCCTTTTTAGATAAGATACATTTCAATGGTACTGCTTACGTAGTTTTGGTTTGCCTTGAAAATGTTTTATGGAAGCTTTACAGAATTGAAACTTCATGACAGGTCTGAATGCAGGAAGAAACTAGTTTCAAACATTGCATTGTGACTTTATCAAATTGTAAGACAGTAATTATGTTTTATCACAGTCATCTCATCAATGTCTCTTTTAATTCTGTGAAGTTGTACTTTAAAGACCCAACATGAAGTAAATACTCATTACTCATGAAGTAAATGATGCACATAAATAAAACATTTTAATGTAGTTTAACCACTCTTACAGTGGGAGAACCAAATTGATGTACTAACATTTGGGTGAGTCCTTCCTCCTTCCAGACTCTGTCATTCAACTGCTTTTCCTCTTCATAACAACTGTCAATCAGCAGCTTACTACAGGAAATTTTTGTTGACCGTATCAAATAGTGAGTTTCTATGTCTCCACTGTAAGAAAACAGTGCTTTAATTTTATTTCACGTGTGTTGTTTTTTTTTGATCGGTTCCCTTCCTGATCTCTGGGAATTACATTAGATTAGAGTGATTCTGTGACATGGAATTAAACAGGCTAGCTGGCACAAAAAGCTTTTGATCAGTTTTAACTAAGGACAGTAGGATAACCCCACTTACTGGGTTTCAGGCACTGTACAGTCTTTTAAACCATCCACTCGTAGGCCATTGATCACTTCCAATCAGAGAGTTTTAAATGATCTAATCCTGCTACTTGACAAGTAAAAGAGTCTGAGTTAGGGAAGTGAAATCCTTTATTCTTCACCGTAAACTTATCCAAAACTTGATTTTACCTTTTATTATTATTTTTTTTTCTCTCCAGTGTTTATTTTTTTCTTCGGAGTGAGACAGAGGGCTGCAGCATGAATCATTACGATGATTCCTACAAGACAACATTTCTCATTCTCCTTAGCTTTCAACAAAAACAAAGTCTTTGGGCAAAGCCCATGCTGATAAATTGTATGCCATCCTAAGAAACATATCTGTAGTGGAATGGTTGGTTAAAGCTGGAAAAGCTTTTTACAAGTACAATGACAGTGGCTACTACAATGAACACAGGCCTGCTCTGCGTTTCCGAGGTACAGATGGTGTCTGCTTTGGTACTGAATAGTGCAGCGAGATAAAGGGAACAAAGTCTGTAATACACAAAGGGCACATTTTAACTGCTAATAATAGGCTTGGGACTGCCATAAACACTTGATATAAATCATTCAGCAACACAGATTCTCTTTCTGACTTTTTTTTTTTAGTGTTCCTTGTGATTGAAGACCTGGCTGAATATCTTCCCATCGCTTTGTAGCAGTTCTTGTGTGTGCTCTTTGCTGTGGTATGCACAGTCAGCAAGGGCAATAAAACAAACGTTTCAGGACACTGATCTAGACTCAGTGCCTCGCATAATGGGGTCTCATATAAACTAAAAGGATAGGCATAAAGATTTGTTCATCGGTTAATTCCCCAGGATGCTGACAGCTGCTGTTTTGTGATGGCCTATGACCAGCACATTCAGAAATAGTCTCAGGACTTCCTCCCTGGGCAAACTCTCATGCCTTACAAGGAGAAACAGTTCAGGAATGGAGCAGGATGGCAGTACCTCCTCCTTAACCATATTCAAAATACTGGGGTGTTGATTGCTGAGAGATTGTGTCGTAATATTTTTTCTCCTGACAAGCCTAGGGTTGGTGGTAGTGACAGCTATAGGGAGCCCAACAAGGTTTTTGGTGGGCCAGAGTACTTGGCAGAGGGGACTTTCTCTGGACTGGCAGCTGCTAGGGTTGGATCTGTCCTTTCAAAATTGTGCAGACCTTTTTTAAGTAATCTAAGAGTTGGTTTTCTGGAAACACTGCTGGGTCATGGGCTAGCGCTGTTATTGATGTTTCCTTTCTGGGTTTATGGAGTAAAACTGACAGAATTACAGTGTCAAGGAGTAATCGAACAAATTGTGTATATTGTGCATAGTCAAGCTTTTATTCTATTGCCAAAATTGACTCGTATTTAAATGCAACAAGGGAACAAGCAAATAAAGCTAGAAGCTGCTGCTACCTTTTGGTTTGGGAGCATGGCTGGAGCAGCCTGCAGAGGAAGGCACAAATTTTAATGTTAATCTCTAAACCTTGCATTTATTTTTAATAGAGAGGAGTGGAGTGAGTGTATACAGAACCTATTTTTTTTCTTTTTTTTTTCTTTTTTTTTGTAATAACCTATTGAAAATGAAATGACTTGATGCTCTCTTTTGCAAAGGGGCAGAAAACGTGAATTCTTATCTTGCTCTGATAACATTGTAGTTAGATTGTGTGCGTATCCTTGAACTTCAAGCGTACAAGGAATAATATTTAAACTGAATAGAGCTGCTCACATGACTAAAATCAGTGTACTGCCCTGTTTACTTGAGTGGATATACATGGCTATGTATGTACATGTATGTGTATTTAAAGACATTTTCTGGAGTAGACATGGGGTATGCTGAGGAAGGTGATACCAGGAAATGTACCTGTTGTTTTGTTGGTGGTGGTTGTTTGTTTTAATTTAAAACCATAGATGTGTTAAAAAAATTGTTCTGGGCTTCACTGAAGACAGTGGGACACACAGTATAGTGTTTTTTCTTCCCCAGTCAAATAAAGGAAGAAAAGACTGTTCTTACCTCTGCTATTCCTCTGCATCTGTAGCTGAGCTCTTTAGCTTGCTGGTCTATTCTAAATAAGGTTGTACTGAAATCGCACAGGACAATCGTTAGGTAAATGCATCTTAACAAAATACATAGCAGTCAGCAGTGTTCTGGACTTTTGTATGTGTATGCAAGTACAACAAACCTTTTTCTGAAGGTATTTGAAACTGAATAAATGAGTCTTGAATAAAGTTGGAAACAACTGTTTTGGGGTGTTTCATAATGTACCCTTGTGAAGGTAACCAGACTCTCAAGCAAAACCCAAGTTTTCTCAGCGGTGTGGAAGGTACTGGGGGTGTGCGCACCTTGGTTTGTGGGGAATTGTATGGTATAGTTTTGAATGGGAAATAAGTTTCAGATTTTAAAAGTTTTAAAGAGAGGTGATGGGACTGTAATTAAAGATATATCCTACTTTGGGTGTGGTACAAGTTCCTGGTGTGATTAAGGTTTTTTGGATGAAGCATCATCAACACTACCAGCAAACCTTTGTTAAAACTGTGTGTTTTTAAGACTTGCAAAATTTGGATCTGCTCATGAATATAGCGAAGATCACTGCATGTGTCTTATGAAGTGCCAACAACTCAGTTCAAAATATAAGTGAATCGTTTTGCTCATATTTTAACAATGAAGGCCTAATAGAGGAGTATTGCAGTGCACGAAATGGAGTCTATATGCTCATGTGTTTTGTAGAATTAGAACTGAAATGTGAAAACCTGTTTCCAAAGTCAATGTAAATCGATTCAGAAATATGGTATTCTCTTTCCATGCTTACCTTTGCAAATACTGTAATCGGTCCTTTTTCTAAATAAAGGAATTAAATTCACTCAGATGTTTAATGGAAAGTGGGACATCTGTAATAATCTGTTCACAGAAACAAATGCACTCTGTAACCGCTGGTACTATTTGGTTTTGCAGGTTGTCTTCTGCATTTTGGGTCTGAAGGTACCCTCTTGCTTTCTCAGCAAATCATGGACATCGTTGGCTTTCTGAAGTCTCAGTTCATTTGCCACCTGCTGATCTGCTACATATTTATAGTGTCAGGACTGATCATTAACTTCATTCAACTCTTTACACTTATACTTTGGCCAATCAACAAGCAACTGTTCAGGAGGATCAACTGCAGGCTGGCTTACTGCATTTCAAGCCGTAAGATTTTATTTTGTTTTTTGTTTTATTTTTTTTTAAGCTACTTTCATATTTTGTCTTGAGGGAATCATTAAAAAAAATAATCTGGAATAGATTTCAAAGTAACCTATATAAAGATCATGACTGCTTCCTACAGCCCTTGCATTTGTGTGAAGAGGTGTATGCTTTGTTCGAATGTGCTGTTCTGCTGAAATGCTGTGCTCTTTTATTGGGATACTTGCTTGACTCAGGATAACGAAGAAAGACTGCCTCTCATTTGGCTATCCATCATGTTCCATTAAGCCAAATGCGAAATATTGACCAAATAATAGCATAAGTTGCTGAGATGCATTATCTGGAGGCTTACAGTGTTAACAAGTCATTTCCGGTAGCACTTTCAATCTCTTTGTTATGCGTGATTTTGTTTTTAATCATTGTTCAGTTTTCATGTGCCAATACTGCTCAGAAATAGGAAGTAACAGTAACAAAAAAAAAAAAAAGGAAAAACATTGATTCAATATACTGCTTTCTTAAGCCAGTTGCAAATTGTTGTTTGCTTGAATAAGCATTTCAGACTTAAAGCTGCATTCGTACGTATTTGGTATAAGCATAAAGTGTATAATGGAGAACCCAGCTGGTAGCCTGTAAGCACTGAAAGAAGTGGTAGTCTCGGGGGGGAGAGGGGAGTGTGAGCTCAGGGTATTTATTACTTGTCGAAAGGCCAAACCTTTACAACTGTTGGAGATGTGACAATTCACTGACTGTTGACTAAACGGGTAATTCCAGTGGAATGACCGAGACCTATATGCTTATGTTTCTTCTTTGTTAATAGGCTGGTGGAGTCTCCACTTATCAACAGTAGATTATCAGAGCACCCTGATAATATCAGTCTGTTTATATATTTGTTTCTGAAGAGCTATAAGTGCAGCTTCAGCACTGATTTATTGTGGTGCAACTTCTCACTTCCACATAATTGCTATCAACATACAGCAGAGTGCAATCCCTCCGAAGCTGTTAAAAGCACAGTAGTGTACCCATGTCCAGTAGCTGTGTGTGCACTGTTAAATGTGTCCATGTTCCAGGGGAATTGCCCTGGGCCTTTCTGAATCTCAGAAGTGGTTTCTAAAAATGAAAATGTTACAAAGTGCATGCCTACTGAGGCTCCCTAAAGATGATCCAAGTGTGATGTCACTGTCCGTGGTGAGTGGTTTCATACAGAGGAAAATAACCCTTCAACACAGGGATGATGAATTGTGTTGCAGAAATACCGCCCAGTGGTTTATTCCAGTTTACCTTGCTCACTACTAGGGATCTGAGAAGGGGGAAGCATTGTTACTGTTCATAATTAACTGCTTGATTCAGAAATCTGCCACTCATCTCAAACTGGGGATTAATCTCATCAGTGAGTCTGATGTGCAAATGTTAAAAACATTTTTGTTTAAACACTTTTGACTCATATTGCAAAGCTGCATCAGGATATATGGGCCCAAATGAGTTGGGGGTACTCTTTTACTATATCTGTAATAAAGGGAGGAGGATGTTCCTTGTGAGAAATCTCATTTTTTGCTGTCCATGTGTATATCCCTGAAGCGAAGAGTTTGCAAGTAGTATACATTTCCATGTGTGAATGGTGGTGTGAATGTGGCCAAGTTTTTACTTTATATCTGGGAGCACGCTGTAAGTTTGAAGCCATGGGCTGTAGAAGATAGTACATGGGTAAATTTTCTTTTAGGGTAGAGGAACACGTTTATATATGTATATTATTTTTAATGCAATTCCTTCTGCTGTGTTCAGCCTTTTGGCTATTTAGTGCAGAGACACCAGCTACATCAGTCTCCAGACTGAATCCTTTAGCCTCATCTGTACCAAGGGCTGGTCACTGTTTGAATAAGAGCCTGTAATAATACTGCATGCTTGTCCTTCATCGCTCCAAAACACAGCACCACACCAGCTAGTAGGAGGAAAATTAACTCTATGCTAGCCCAAACGAGGACAATCAGGTAGCTGGCTTTTCATTCAGGATTGTTGATCTAGTCTTTAGTGTTGACTCCACTAGAAAGGTTGTTCTGTGAGATTTTTGCCCAGTTATACTCAGAACAATCTAGCCCTAGGTTAAAGACAGTTATTTGAGCTTTACAACACTGGTTTGCAATCTGTCGTTTAATGTGAGTCACCCTTATGTGAGTGATATTTGAAAAGGGGAAAATGATAGTTAATTAAAAAAGGTATTTGGAAGAACTGCGGGAGATTAGTCAAAACTGATGTGTTTTTGTATTAGTGTATGTGTAAGATAATGGCTTTTGGGGGCATTGGTGTGCTGACGAATACGTAACTTAAGTTGGGCCTGTATGGGCCCAATGAAAGTCACGGAAACTCAGCCTGCTCTTTGAGATGACGAAGCTTAGCCTTGGAGAACACAGAAGAAGCCTGTGGTTTGCAGGCGATAAGCATCACGTTGCTTTGAGCGGCTGATAAAGTCTGAATCACGAAGTCAACCCAGTAGTGAAACAGAGCAGGCATGGTTTAACTTAAAAGTAATATGAAAGCAGCAGCTGCCTTTAGATCTTTCTAAGTTCAGCCAGTTTCCATTTGATGTCAGTGTTGGAGATGAATAATTCCACAAAATTGAAGGAGAGAGTTTCATCCTTGACACAATGCTCTTGGGGAAGTGCTTTTATATTTCAAATAATGGTAAAATTTCCTTCTACCCATTTTCTTCCCGTCTCCTTTCTAGTATAGGAATGTGTTATTCTCACTTGCCCAGGCGCAACATCTGCTGTCATGCCGCATATAGGAAGCTAAACTGCTGTGGTGGCTCATGACTTGTCCTCACTGCACTGCTTATGCCAGAGCTGGGGATGTTCGTCTGCTCACTTGACTTAAGTCAGACTAGCTCAGGTAAATGCTTTCATACCATAAAAAGGTCATATGGAATAACTGTGTTTTAGTAGCTGAGGACACGTAACTGTGTGAGCTGCTACTTCACTGGGAGCATGGCAATAGCTCCGTAGCTTCTCACCATACCTACTGACAACCCAGCGGGCTAATGCCATATACTTCAATATGCTGCTCATTGATTCAAGCTAGAGAAGAAGTGAAAGCTTGGTTTCCAGTTTGAATTTATAGTGGAAGGGATTGACTAGAGCAACAACTTGGTTTCAAGGGAAAGGAGCAGAAATGCACACAGCTGCCTTCAGTAATTGGTGTTGAGACGTTGTTGTCTTCAAACCAATTGTGGATCATGGGTTGGGCAGATAGGGTGAGTTTAGCTTCTGTACTGACTTGCTCCATTATACTTTAGAGTTAGGGAGAACTGATGTAGTGTTGCAAGAGAAAAAATACTCATTCTAATAAATTGGCATGTTTTTGGCATGGCTTTTTATGAAATTTGAGCTGGAGAAACGTTCTTCATTGTTGATTGGAAACCTTGTTCAGCCTGAGCCTTCTGCCTTCCATAGGGTGTGTTGGCCTGTCATCAGATTGTAATTTGGATTGCTTCTATATCTCCAAAGTAATTTCTGAGTTTAATTGTGAATAAGCTTTCCCTGTTTGATCCCATTAACCCCTTTGCCAAGTATCTATAGGGCAATGGTTAGTTGTAGTCATCCTTACTCTGTATGTCTTAACCTTTACTGGAGAGTGTTAGTTGCAGAGACTTAACTATATTCAACGTGAAAGGAACAACAGAGGAAACCATCTTTGTTCTTTTGTCTTTGTTGCTCTCAAATGAGCTAGGAGACTAGTAAGGATTGCATGTTCTCTGTTGTGTTTTAAATGTAAGGAAAAAAAAAAATAAAGCCTTTGGGCTTAGAACTTTGAGCCAGTGTTTATAAGTTCTTCCTGATACCGAACTCCATAGAGTGCAGCGGTATTAGGAAAACCGAACATGGCAAAGCCATGCAAGCTGATAACCATAACAAGTTTTAAAAACAAGTGTGCTTGGAAGATGGCATTGGAACATAGGCTGGGCAATCCATTAATCTTATAGTTTAAATAATTGAGGGGCACTTTGTCCTCAGTCTCTTCTTCCAAAAGACTGAGAACCGTGGAGTATCTAAGGAAGGAAGAAAACACCTAGTGTGGAATACATCGCAGTCCTTGATGCTGCTTGTACCTGAATTGGAAGAGGTGGGAATGCATTCTCCTTGTTATCTGGGGGCAGCAAACCATCACAAAGGATGCGCACAGCTCGTCTGCGCTAGTGTGTGAAGTTGGCCAAGGCTGTGGGGAGAACAGGCTCTCTTGGCTGTAGTGCCATGCATGCACATGGCTGTGGAGCTTGCTGGGGCTGTGGGAGAGTGCCTTGTACATCCTGAACTGTTTTGTGCTTGGCGGGCTGGTGCATCCCCAGGGATGAGCAGGGTGTGCTGGGCACCTGCTGGCTGCTTGGGACATAACCTGCCCTGTGCTGAGACTGGGAACGGGACTACGCCTGCTGGACAAATGTCTTCTTTAATGGTGCTGGGTATATTTACTCAGGAAGATGTTTGTGAGCAGAGCAGTGGTTGATAGCTTGTCCTCTTGCTGCCCCTGTGCTGATGGAAACTCAGCTTTCCCTGCTGCTTGAACCAGCTGGTGCTCCCAGGACGCCTGGCAGGCTGGCCTGCCGCTGCCTTTCAGCACAGGGCGAACTTGGTGCTGCCAACAAGAGGATGATTGTCTGGAAGGATGCAAAAGGGCTTTAAAAGCAATTGTCTTAGCGTCTCATTTGCCTTTATAAATTAATTATCGCAGTACTAATAGCTATTCTTGTGCTGTGAAAGGGGTATTATTATACCTTTGGGTAAAGTTACACTTTGTAGGCTGCAGTTTGTAAATCCCTCCGAGGGGAAGGCCCTGCATGGAAACAGGCACCCCTGATGCCCGCTCACTGATTGCAGAGAAAACAAAATGGAAACTGATTCTTCCTATGACTGAGCTTTCTAGAAACAACATCAGATGAAATTGAGAACTGCTTTCCATTCATTGTAGCTGACTGTTATGAGACAGTAAAGCTAATTCCTTCCATGTACAACGATAAG